TTTCAGAAACGATAATGAAAGTAACCAAGAGAAAAAAGAAGAACATAAAATGTTGTCTGTCTCTATGTCATTGACGTCAACTTATTTTATCGTTGATATTAGTTTTTTTTTCCTTTCCTTTTTCTGTTCTTGCCAGATATGAAAGAGCCTAGTTGTGAGTTGTTTTAGACTCATTCTCTACATCGAACAAATAAAACAGAGTGTATTACAAAGAGGAAAGACTGAAAATGAGAATATGACAATGATAGTAACTACTAAGTGTACTTTACGTCATTTTTGCTGTTGGTTATGAGTTAGATGATTATTTTTCAAGGAATAGGTAATCCAATGACGTACGCACGTTCTTTTTGGTTCATTCTATCATAAGCTGATTCATTTTTGTCTTTTAGACATATGATCGTTAATAAACAATATGTTAGAACATTGAAAAGTATTTAAATCAACAATAATAAAACCAACTAATTATCTAATATACTTCTATAATTATTAGTCTTATCAAACAGGATAGGAAAATCTAATGAATGAGTCGATATATATGCTGATTATAATCATTAATTAAGTTCTATGAATCTATATCGATAAGTTAAATATTTTCTTTTAATATGAAATGGAATAATAGAAGAATAAATTTGTTCTTAAACATGATAATATGATTTCTATTTAAGATAATTTCATGATAAGAAAATAATGTCTCGAGTAATGCAACAGTCAATATCATGGACATCAATACCAATTGCTGATGTTGATACCATTGAACAGTTCAAATCAGTCGATTCATTATCAACAAGAATTGGACCTATTTGAACGTATTTTTTGTACAAATGGACGGGAATTTACTATGCATGTTCTTGATAATCATAGTCGAGCAAGTCGAAATTACAGATCAGTATTTTATTTTTATATTAGAAACATATTTTGTTTTACTGTTAGGAATTTATTAGAGTTCATCGTAAATTTCAACGTTGTTCTGTACGTGGTAGTTGTAAAGGTTGTATGCAAGAGGCTACCGTTGAATGTCCGCCAGGACAAATTATTGGCACTGTTCAACAAGAGTACCAAAAAGATTACATAGAAAATCGTAGTTCTATTATAAATCTTGGTCTCATTTAGAGATAGTGGTTCCAGTGTGAATTATGTTATTGAAAATGAGGCTATTCAAAAATAATCTTATCAAAAATGAAACCGTTACTGATAAAGATTTTTAAAGTCTCTCGTTCTACTCTCACGAATCATCCAACAACATTCTTATGAATCTTAGTTGTTAAAATAGCATTCATATTGAATTTTATTCAATGTTCTAATGAATTAGTAACAATATGATAAAACTACCATATAGTTTCGAAGTAAATAATGAATGTAAGTTTTAAGAGCCATTCCACGTAAGCCACAGCCGATTCTCCATTACAGCGCTCAATCGATATCCTCCGATTTGGCTCATTTTTACATATGTGATAGAGACAAGTGTTTGATGACTTTTGGTAAAACCCGCTTCGAAAAATATTGAATCGTTCGTTTTTTATCGCAGTTTTACTGAAAGCACTATAAATCGTTATAAAACGCACTTTCACGAGGGACGATTTTGGACACTCCAGAAAATCAACAAAAACATCAATCGTTTGAGTTGAAATTTTTTGTATATTAATACCTAACTAAGTTCTACATGTACCATAAATTTCAGCTCAAACAAATGAGTGATTGGTATTTTATGGATTCCACAATTCGAGGAAAAATTACTTTTNCGATTGAGCAGATTAAAATCGATTGTCCGATTAAAATCCGATTTTAGTTGGGTGAATCAAAAATAATTGATTGAGTTGATTGATTTTACAATCGATTATAACATTTTAATCGATTTTAATCGGATTCTTCTAGAAAAAGTAGAAGCTTTGTTCGAAAAATCGGATTTGTCAGTCGCTAATCAAAAATAATCTGGATTTTCTTCGGAATATTTTTCACTGGGTGTGCCTTAAGTTGGTATAAAATTAGTTTCTCTATGCCTTATATTACAAGAGAACGAAGCTTTGAAAAAAATGGCATCTATAGGTGCCATTGGACAAGAAAGGGTTAAGTAGAAACGAAATGAGAGAAAATTGATTTAATAATGAAATAATGAACAGATAGTTTCCAACGCCAAATTTATGCGGGTTAGGTCGTTTGAAAGTAAGAAAACTAGCATAATTTGTAAATGCTCCAAAGAGAAAGATACCGATTGAAAGTGCCAAATAAATTGTTTTCACATTGAGATTAATTTGCCAAAAAATAGTGAATCTAATGCAAAACTTAGTCCTCTTGTATTGAATTGACAAATTTTTCCCGAGTAGCATCGAGGACATTAGCATGTGAATTTTGCTGCCAATGAATTGTCCTTCAAACATTGTGCACCGGCGTGACAACAGGAACATTGATCAAGAGAACGATCATAACCGAAACATTCTATTCTAGTATAATTTCTTTCACAAATACATAAATACAAATAATCAACAAAACGCAATAGATTTGTGTCGTTGATGCAAAAACTATAATAACTGATTGGAGATATTTCTGAATGATATAGAAAATGAATTGTATTAATCACTACGTAGTTAGATTAACTGCGACTTACCTGTTCCTTTTTGAAATAATTTTTCAACATGAGCACATTGATTCTTTTCATTCAATTGAATTGTTGCATTCACCGGTTCTGAATTCATATGAATCGATATTAGATAGATTTTGGTCTGTTCACTAGTGTAAATTCGGCCGAGAATAATTTTGAATATTTCATTGTCACTATGCAAATAATGCAACATGTTCGGCAATTTATCATACAGATGTTGATAAGCGAGAACCAAATCAAGAGAATACAAATTAATGTAAAAGTATTGTACAACAGCGGCCGTATGTTTACTACTGTCATTGATGTACAATCTTAATGATTTCTTTTTCAAGTTACAGATGCTTCCATGATATTCTTTGATATATGTGCAGCTGAATCGATCCGGCGAGGATGATACAAAACAGACACCGTTATTCAGACATGGATTCCGATTACATTTATCGTGTATCAACTCACATCGGTCACCAATTTGATTTAGTGGACAAATGCAATACGGTCGTTCATTTCCATTCAACAGACCTCGATTATTTGGCTTACATAATGCATTTGGTGCATAAAAACCATCAGTACATATGTAACCCGTAATTGAACAGGCGTCGCCTTTAAAACCGCTTGGACACAGACAAATATGACTTGAATTTTGATTCATGATTGGATAGCATTCTTGATACGTATTGCAAGAATTACTTCTGCAAGGGTCTATAGGAATATCAAGTTTGGTCAATCGAAGTACTTTAGCGAAACAAAATGATGGTATGAAATCAAAATAGATCGTATACACGACCAAACAGCAACACGCTGTATAGTTTCATGAGAATTCAGTTCGTATGCTTCAATACGCATCGAATAAAGCTGCTTGTGAATAATATTCGATCGGTTAGAAAATCGTTGTCGTTTATGCTCTAAAGACTGAGTAGATCGTGAGTACAACAAGTGATGGGTTGTCTTCTTATCAATAGTTTTTGATACTGGACCTACATGAAAACATGGCGTTTGTAGTGACTGATTTTCATATAAAGAAGTATTGTAGGATTATTTGATTCTGCATAGATCGATTCTGATAGATTGAGATTAATAATGACAGCAAGTCGATCACTATGAAATTGACATTTATCACTGTAGTATTGTGGTGGACAAAAGCATACAACTGATTTATTATTAGACAAAATGTCAACATCAGGATTACACCAATATGAAATGGAAGATGGTAATTCATGGACAGAAGTGATCTTTGTTGCTGCTACATACTGTGACTTTGACACGATGATTTTAGGTAGATTATTATGCATATTAGAGGGAAATAGAGAAAATTGAATATCATGCTTCATCTTTCCATTGAAAGTTTCTTTTTTCTCACGATAATTGTATAAAGAATACTTTTCTGGAACACACAAATGTTCGTCTTCCCCATAAAAACAGTCGATTTTTTCATTACACCATTCACCTAGTGCACATTTACCATTCAGACACATGAAATATAATGGTTGTGAACAATTGATAGATTTCGCATAGCCATAACACTGAATGCGACTATCGAGACATCGAGAATTACAATATGGCGAATATGGTACGCACATTTTACTTGATGGGAATTTAAGATTGTGTCCAAGCATAAAGGATGAATTACAGTGATTTATTATATTACGTTCCTCTAATGTACCAATACAGTCAGCATAGCCATTCCCAATCCGATCTAAACTTATGCAAGGCTTATTGCGCGTAAAATTCAACGGATCAGATGCATCGATTAGAAAACATGGATATTCTGTACTAGAATTACAAATTATCCCCAAAAGATCGATTACGATAATGTTGTTTGTATCCTTTTATCCAAGTTAGCACGTCTTACAAGTGCTAAATGTCGAGTTGAAAAGGAATTGTTTGAAACGTATATTCCTTGCACATCTGATGCATTGACGCAATCCCACTCCCCGTCTAACTCCCATGTCTATGGAATGCACTGTCTACTTCAATATCGCCAATAATTGCGGGGGAAAATCCACTATTTCGTGCGCATACTCATATCTTCATCCTTGTGCGAACCAAAATTCCAAAATGTATCCCAAAAAGCTCGAAAAAGAATACTGACTAAATTCACCCGCTCAGAAATGCCATAGTATGTATGATTTTTTCCAGATTCTCCAATATATTGTCGAATTGGTGCACAATCATATATTGCTTTTAAGTTACAATATAACCTCGATAGCATTACCTCTGTTTCTTCCCATGATTCGTCTCGACTATTGTCACAGTCAGACTTGCTATTGCCAAGTTTGTTTGGTAGAAAACACGTAGGTTGATCATTTGAACACCGGAATCGATAACGTTGAATATAAGAGCAACTTTTTGAAGCTATATCATTGGTCTTTTCATCTTCTCCATCGGTACAATTTTTATATTCATCCTAAATTCGATGTGCGGAAAACCATTCCTCGAACTTTTTGCAGATGTCAATAAAATGATAAGTTTTATTATTAAATGTTCTCGAATCATTGCAGCAGAATTGATCATAACCATCGTTTGGAGTTATAGAATTATTCAAAGTCTTCTTGCAGAGTCGTCTTTCATTATCACGAAAATTAAAATAATAATGATTATCTGATATGACACGTTGAACAATCATATATCCTCGACATTTGATAGTTGTATTCATCTCGATGAAATCCGGTTGTAACTTATACCAATCACGAGTTAAATTATAATAATGGAAAAAATATGGTGCAACAGTTCCACCAATTGGATATTGCATAATTGGTGATTTACATGGGCTCTTGAATTGGTTTGTGCAAGAAGAATTATTTATACAAGAAGAATTATTTTCCATTCCTCGTGATAAAACACATTTTACGAAATAAATACATGAATCAAGAATATTTTCCTCTTAATATTGAGGCGAATAGCATTTGCCATTTGATAATGTTCATTGTCTACGTCGAGGATTCATTTCGCACATGTAATACTGATCACGGAGGTTATTACATTCCTTTGCTGTTTTATTCCGACCTGAATCCTGGAAGGCAATCCGATCTGTAATACACTGTCCATCACCACATGACTATTCGTCCTGTGAACACATCCGATCATCGCACTGGACACTAGCTTTTTGAAGTATGCACTTCATGTCATTGAAAACTTGTTTCTCATCAGATAAATCTGAACAATCATAGTCGCCGTCAAGAAAATATTCATCAGGAATACACATTCCATTCATACAGCGATATTCATCATCGTCACAGTCATTAAATTCTAATTTGTCACAGTTTGTTTCATCGTCACCTGACATACACTGCTCAACTCCATCACAAATATCTCGCCAATCGAGACACAAAAGACCAGTATTACAACTTAATGTTGTATAACATACAATATCACCGAACAATTGCATCTGCCATGAATCAATTGTTTTCATCTGCACTTCCCAAGCAATAATTTCCTCGAATGTTGTTCCCTCAGGCAGAAAGTATTCACAATTCTTTCCGAATAACAGCGAATCTGTGCATTCACATAAACCTTTTACTTTTCGTTTTTCTTTTCTTTTGAATAAACTTCTACGAGACTCATCCATGTTTCTATCGTAGTATCAGTATCGCCTACCTTTGTTTTGCGTTCATCCTGCATCTTGCCATTTGTTTCATTCTTTCTCTCTATGTCTATTCCTGATACAGCACGCATTATTTATGTTTTCTTCTCTTCTTTTCTTTCTGTACTTATTCCTAATGGAATCTCACTACTTGCTGGTTTTTCTCTGTTGCTTCATACAATTACTATTATCTATGCGTATGCGTATACAACCACTAGGATGATTAATATATGATCATCAGCAACTGAATCGAACCATTTTTGTTGGTTGGAGTTCAGTTCAATTCACAATTTAGATTTACTTTTGAAAAATTAATTAATGTTCGGCTGAGTTCGACTTCATTTTGGAAAAGTGGTTCGAGTTCGGCTCTTTTCGAGTTGCCCTAGTTCCACCAAATGAAGAGTACACGAGAGATGAAAACTTGATTCTGGAACGATTAGCGTGTCATTTTGGAGTTGATATTGGTATAAATTAATACTTATTGCAAATTTGCTCAATGATTATTTCATAAAAAAAGTGAATAGTAGCAGGTTTGGAAACTTGTTTCTCCTGTTTCAATTAGTTTAAATTGTTTACGAAAAGTACAAGTAACCAAATTACCTGAGCCAAACGATATGGAAAAGTAGCATTTTTTTAAATGTGTATTTGCATTGTGTTAAATAGTAGTGTTTCTTTTTCTTTTATTGAATAAACATCTTTAACGAGAAAACTCGTTTTTTAATTGGATTTTACAGTGAAGGACGTTTTTTATAAAAATTTATACCATTCGGGAAAATTTTTAATTTTATCGGCGGATTCTGCATGTCTGCTTAGAACCATTTTTGTTGATCATTAAAGTAAAAAACAAGTTTGAAATTTGATCAATGAATAACACCTCTAAGATCAAAATAATGAAAATCTCTAACTATTTTGACTAATACCGGTAAGACGGTTATGAATATTTTCACCTTGGCGTTGTTATTTATTGATCGAATTTAAAACTTATATTTACGCTAATAATAAAAAAAGGGCTCTACAAGATCGAATAGATAAGGTTTGCTAGATTATCGTATTGCTGTGGTTGACTATCTAATAGGCATGCATTGAACCCAAACTTTTAGATTCGGGTTCAATATTGACTGCGATCATTTTCAGTTAATTAATAAAACGAATTAGAATTAAGTCAAGAGAAAGGATTCCAAGCTCGGTTATTGTAGATCTACAAAAAATTCAATAAATGATCTGAAAACTGAAAGTCTGTAGGCGTACAAGGTGAGATTAACAATATTCGGAAGTATCCAAAGCTGGTTCTGAATGCAAACGATTCGTCCAAAATATCGAGCCAGAGTTTTGGTTCTGTGTATGTTCACTGTCTGAAAAGAGTGTTTGTCTTGTATCCATCTATATCTATATCTATACTCAGTCACAGTCCACATCCGTGCGTGCATCTACACTCACAATCTAGTCAACAAGAACTACTTATGCACTCATTCTCCATATTAGACTGTTTGTTTTTCAGGTAGTGTTGGCACACATAGAGGAAAGAATGACAATTTTTTACACGAAAAATCGGTTATTTATACAAATAATTGGAAGCGAAAAGCAACTTAAGATTTCACGCATTCTCTTTTTTCGTTGCGTCTTGACGTATTTCTCTTGTTGGGAATCGATTCGTTTAGTTGATGATCTTCAATGGCCAGTGGCATAGAAACGATTCTATTGTACACTTAAAAATGTCGAATAAATGGCTTTTTAATTGAAGAAACGCTAAAGTACAACAACATGAAAAACTCAAGAGCAGACAGATAAAAAAAATATAAAACACAAGACAAGCACAGGAAAAAATTGAACGGAACAAAATGAAATAAAAAGCAGACAAACTGAATTACGAAAAAGATTTTTTCGGTAGAATTTAAAACAGAAGAATGAGAGAAAAAGTGATCAATGTTTTATTGTTAACAAACAAGAAGCCGACATTGAAAGACATTGGTAGAAATTATCTTTCAAAAGTTCGATTAACTCCAACTCAGATTCTTATTGTCTTGAGTTTTCACTGTATTGTAAAGTAAAGTCCACCTACAACATTTGTCTCTTGTGGACCATTATTAAAAAAAGCTGTTACCCACGACTGTCCACCTTGTTTAGAAAATTGAACATTTGGTACCACTGCACAAAATACTGCATTACCCATTGGACAATTTGCTTCGGATGAAGTATAGTATTTGTTAATTTTTCCTCCAATGTTTGGATTGCCATAATCGTTAACCCATAGTAGATACATCGTTGCATTTAGTATACTTGGCCATGAAAAATACGGGACAAATGTGGAAATAGCACCAGATGGGTATACAGTTTTTGTATCCAGTGCTATTGTTATAGGTAGTGATGTTGTTCCTACAGGTTTTTTTATTCTATTCATAAATGCCAAACCGCTCGGTTTGATAATTAGATCTTTGTCAAATAAACCAAAATACGCTTCTCGATTATCACTATTTGCTTGATCACAAAATTCATAAAGACAAGCGACTTGCACAAATGGCCATTGTTGTTGTATTATATCAATAGCACGTTGCAAATGATTGGCTTGACCCACCAATCCAGCACCATTCCAACCAGAGAAACTGCTAAAACCGAATTCTGAAAACCAAATCGTTTTTGATCCATCATTTTTCGATATCATATATTGGCGTATTTTTACAACACCATCGGTAAAACACCAAAACTTTGATGAAACTTGTGATGTAAAGCAATCATCAGGCCCATATTCTTGACCGTACCGAGTGTTACCCGGTGGATATGCAGCCGTGTATGGATGCATTGCTAATGCAGTAAAATAGGCTTTTAAACCCGATTTATACATTTCATTTAAATAATCAACATCACTGCCTGCAAGACTTCCAGCCAATATAATAACACTTGAATCAACTGCTTTCATTTTTTGATACGTTATTTTAACCATTGCTGAATATTCTTGTGCACCTTTTAGGTCAATAAATTCCATAAATTCATCATTTATACTAGCAGCTCGTGGACATAACCCACCATTCCCTGAACATTCAGGGCGTAACCAATTCATACTCAGATTTGGCTCATTCCATATTTCCCATGCATAAATCTTCTTGCCATAACGACCCAGTAAAAAGACCATTGCATCAGCATAGTCACTATAGAGTTTTGGACGATAATAGAATTCATTACAGTTCTGTGATGTTGAAGCCCAACAGGGCGTTTGAGCCATTTGGATGATAATTTTCAGTCCAGCTTTTTCAAGACCATATATGTAGGAATCGAGATAATCAAGAAACCATGGTGCGAACTTATTTTTACCATCGTATTCTAATAGTCGCCAAGCAATTGGCACGCGAACAATTTGTGCACCAATGTTTTGCAGTAGATCTGTATGATTTGAAATGTCTACATTAATAGATTGTACGCCAAAAAGCTGTTCTGCCGCTACTGATCTTTGAAGCCATAGTAGCATAAATACTAATTTGAACATCGTTGTTCAAATATATGCCTTCTGAAAATAACGATGCTGGGTAGGTCACATTGTAAAATGAGTGTGCAAGGATGTTTAGTGCTTGGTTATATTGAAGAAATCAGGTAAGTGACAATATTTAACATTCTTTTTTTGTCTGTTTTCTATGACTTTGTAAGAAGATTTGAAAAAGGTTTGAAGCGTGATGAACATACATCACACTGCAGACTAAAAGATCTGCATAAAAAGAGTTTGTTTGCCTGAAACCTGATTTTTTTAACTTCATTTAAATTTTGTTACGGTGGACAAAACTTTGAACTTGTTTCCTTCTATAGCCTTTCATACGGTAGATATTTTGTTAACAAACTTTTTCTTTGAAATTCTGAAATTTCATTGGACAATTTGAATATTTTCCGTAGAAGGCTTAACATTTGACAAACTTTTGTTTTTTATATTTCATAAACTGGTCCAACTCAAATCGAAATACATAGCTACAAACAGCTCAAGAAACTGATTAAAACATCCAACTAGAATTTCTAAAACACAATCTCCAAGTAACATTTTAGAGAAAATCATTTTTTTTAATCTATTGAAAACCTTTTCTCAAAGACAACTTTAAAACGTACATTTAAAAGTAAATGCTGTAGAAATCTAATAGTTTTGTAGAGCATGCTTTTTTATTTCGAAATGTCCCATATTCAACTTAGTTCGAAAACTCGCAACACTAGTTTAACAACAAAGAATTTTAACATCAACGGACCAGATATGGATTCTTCCAGCGTCTATACTGTCTGTTTACAAATTTTCAGCACAAGCATCTGAAGAACGTTATTTGCCATCAACGCATGTTAAAATCAAAAGGTTGAACTTTCTGGTCAAAACAAGACGTCTCACAGTTTCCTAGATTCTTGTTTTGTAAATTTACAAGTAGAAAGTATAGACGCTGGAAAAATCCATATCTGGTCCGTTGATATTAAAATTCTTTGTTCTCAAACTAGCGTTGCGACTTTTCGAACTAAGCTGAATGTGAAACATTTCGAAATAGAAAAGCATGCTCTACAAAATTATTAGATTTCTACAGCTTTTACTTTTAAATGTACTTTTTAAAGTTGTCTTTGAGAAAAGATTTTCCATAGATTAAAAAAATGATTTCTCCAAAATATTAGTTTTAGATTGTGTTTTAGAAATTCTAGTCGGATGTTTTAATCAGTTGCTTGAGCTGTTTGCAGCTATGTATTTCGATTGGAGTTGGACAAATTTATTAAATGTAAAAAACTAACGTTTTTGTCAAATTTTTTGCCCTCTATTGATGATACTCTGTTTGCGAAGTAAAAATCAGAAATGCTAAACAAAAAGTTGTTACTGAAAATTAGAGCTCAAAATTCTGCATCAATCTGTATAATTCTTAATTCTCGAGTGAAAATATTTAGGCCAGGGAAAGCGACACAAGAAATCAAGTTCAAAGTTTTGTTCGCTGTAGCAAAATTTGAACCAAATTAAAAAACTCAAGTCTTAACCAACAAAGATATTTTTATATGAACCTTGTAACTCGTGTTGAGTTGTATAGCAATCACACTTCAAATAATTTTCAAAGCTTCGTATACTGTCAAAAGAAATATAGACCAAAGGGCGTGAATTTTGTAACCTAATAACTGGCTTTTTCGGATTTTCTCAATTTTAGCTGTTTCTAACTGAATTCTTTGAGATCCTAGGCATAAAAGCATAACGAATACAAAATAGTGTCTTTTGAGTTCAATTTTTCTTTGATTTGATGAAAAACGACTAGTGTATCGGGCGCAGAGACAAATACAATCTAATCTTATTGTGTCGAGGCCAACCGAGAAAATAGAGGATTTTAGTCACTTTGCATGACATTATCGGAAAGCCGCTTTTCAATCTATATTTTGATACGATCGAAGTGTAAGTTGCAAGACGAAAAAGAACTTATTTGAAAGTACTTACTAATATGTTGACCTGTGTTTTTTTGTTTCTACTATTGTGAAAAATATTCCGAAGTATATTTTCAAAGCAACTTGAGAACTTGCCTCTTTCTCGGCATGGTCAATCTTTTAGCTGAGTATTTTTCTACAGATTCCTTCAGAACAGCTTTTGGTACACGTCTACCGTAGAACTGTATAGAAGGTCATGTGAAAACTAGCCTTGCTTAAATAGAATGAAAGTTGAAAGAGTTATAGGAAAAATACTGAGGTCACTATTTTTTCTGTCGCATTTGCTAAATAGCAATCATTGAAAATTGTTGCATTGCATAGATAGATTTGAAGATACTCCGAAGCTCAAATGCAAGAATAAAACATCAAAATCTTCTCTTCCGAGATACTATATCTATGAAAATGTTAGAATAGCAGATAATCCGTAAAAGTTTCTCTTACAAAGAAACTGAAGCTGTTAGAACGGAGCTCTTATCTCACTACATTGATTCATTTGTAATAAGGTTATAACTTATGAAAGAGACCAAATCAGCTCGATTTCATCGATCTAAATGCTTTTTTGATGATGTTCATTTTATTCGAGGTAATTTCCAAGAGATTCGTTTTTTAGAAAGACAAGCATATAAATCGATGAAACGTATCCGACTGTTCCATTCCGCTCTTTGACGGATGCTTATACAAAAGAACGGATAGACTGCCTTTTGGGAACAATTTCTGCTGTGTCATACATTTGAAAAATCCTGAAACTTCTCCTATTCTATGAATGCAAAATTTTGATTTGATGTTCAATATCATAGATTTTGATTGAGTTCATCTAATTTCAATTAGTTTTTCTCGGTACCTCGACATCATTAAAAAGCTTCGATTAGAAATTCTACAATTCGCTGTTACATTAACTTACTAAGAGTGAAAATCGTGTCTTCCAACACCATAATTCTCAGTGAAATCTAAGCATTGTAAAAGTCACTCTATTTTATATGATTTGCAGTAGGACTATTTTACGCAAAGAGGAAGAAGCGGATTCGGTTTATCTCGGATACAGTGGGAATCCAGAGGATCCAGGGAATACATTTACGATACATAGAATACGCACCATACGTTGCAAATACTAATGAGACGAATAGATACACTAGAGATAATGCAAAGTATATAAGATAAATATGAGGCGCATACAGGGAATCACTACTGATAAGAAGTTTTATTTGATTGAAAAGAATTTTTAAAGTGTTTTTTCGTTTATCTTAACATTGTACACATTCTTTCATGCGGCTTAATCAAATGATTCTAGCTGTTTAACGCTCACTCAATCAGTACAGAACATTTAACTGAGTCAATTGATTTATGAGTCAGATCAACCCAGGCAGACAGTGAAACGAAAAAAACGGTGTTTAAACATTCCAATATGTAAACTATTTAAACAGTGTCATATGTCGCCAAAAACACATTTAAACAGTTTCCAAAAAATCTCTATTTAACATATTTTACATGTTTGAACGTTTGAAGATGAAAAGCCGTAACCGTTTTAATAGTTTGATTACTTTTAGTAGTAACGCGTTTCATCTATCAAGAAATATTTTATATAAACGATTAAAAACCAAACTGTTTTATCACTAATCGAGAAAATCGTATAAACAATATACACCTTTAATATCAACCTTTGAAAAAACAGTTGATGCATAACGAGTTGTGATCGTTTTAACAAATAGTTTCTTTTTCTTCCGTCATGTATACATCTTTCTATTGGTTTTCTCCCACAACTGCTGCCCTTGTTTACTTTATTCGTTACATCTACTATTTTCACTTTTACTATTCGTTATATTAGAATAGTTTAATATTATTTTTTTCTGTTTATCGAATATAGATTGTGTGTAGTTCGACCTAATTAATAATAAATACTAGCAAAGCAACGAATATTCCTTTTTTACATGATTACAAGTTTTACAATAAATTCAACAATTGTTAAAGTAAATTGATAGCTCACTAATAATATACATAGACTATTCAAAACTTATTTATCATAATCGATCAGCTATATTTCAGTGTTTTTTAAATTTTCTGACTTGTCGATATTGGATGATGATTAAAATGTCCTCGTTCAGTACATTTTTCAATTCTTTTTCGTTATATATCGAGAAAGTTCGAGACCGATGACGTAACTCTACTAGTATTCTATTTACTTAGGGAGGCGAAAACAGCGACACAAGAAAAATACTGGAAAAAATAAATCATCGGCGAAAAGATACTGACAACAAATATATTTTGGTCGACTAGTCCAATAAATAAAGAGATCACGTCTCTTTTATTGAAATGGACGAGCGAAAAAAATCACACTTGATTCTAGGGACCAACTACATACAATATGTAAAAGAGAGGATAAAAGAAAAGGGGGTGCAAGCATTTTCTCTCCTCGTCCGTCTTCATTGACAACGTCGCATTATAAATAGTCGCACGATAGAATAGTAAGAATCATTTATTCTTATTCCATCTATTCATCCATCATCTTCATTTTTACCACCTCTTACATTACTCCTATTCACCATTATCATCTTGATTCATTTTATTTATGATGCCCACTCGATCAGCTACAAAACGTAAACGTCTCAACGATACAACAACAACGAGCAAGAGATTTAAAACTTCGCGCTCAACATCGAACAAACGATCACAATCCAAATCTCAGTTAGTTACACATTCTTCAATTCCTGTAAATGAAAATATCTATATGGATAATGACGAGTCCTTTGAGAAGGACTCGGTAATTAACTGTCCAGATAAATCTCCACACGGTAACACCTTTCACACTAGTAAAATTTAAGTCTTTTTTTTCTGCTCTAGATCGTACATCTACTCCAACCAAGATGGTTGTTTCTAACTCGAAGGAAATAAATATTGAAAAAGGTCCACTTAATTCAACAACCATTCCTAAAGATTCAGTTACTACGCAAAATCAACTCGATACAGAAGCTGTATATAAACAACTTGAAGATGTTATTTCAAGCTGTACTCCGATTGTAGGACGAATTTCAAGCACCAACAGTCGAAAAATGTCTTCAATTATTAATAATGATGGTTCAGTTGTACTCGATGCAAAGGATGATGAAAATGTTCCACCACCATCATCATCACACGCTACTCCAGTAACTAATCGAACTGATCGTTGTCATAGCTCGTAATTTCTCTCTCTGAAAAATTTTCTTGCATCTATCTCAAGACTATTTTTTTCCTAACTCGTACTTTCTAGTCAAGTGAATCGGTCGAAACCTTTTGCTGATCAATATTGTTCACCATCGACGATCACACGAACACCAGTGAATCAGTGGGTGACTAATACCTTCTACTATCCATTTATGAATATTCCTCTAATATTTTCTAGTAATCGATCATCTTCTAATCATGTAATTTCATCTAATTATACGGCCGGAAGGTAAAGCTAACTCTATTTATTATTACTCTATCGATACTCAATAATATCTATTTTATTCTAGTGGCATCCGATATTCAGGTAAAAATGGATTAACGACCGTCAATCGAGTTTTACAAGGAACACCAAAGTAATTATTCCTCCTTTATTCTTTTATAACCTACTCAGTATAAGTATTATTTAGAAACATTGTACGATGCTCAGTTAATGCTCAATCAGGATCGGCTCAAGGGGGAACTACCGGTCATTCTACTATTCCATCTTCATCTACAAATATGACATTATTACAATCAATACCTGAATATCGAGCTTTAAAAAAAGAATTAGATCGAGAACGACAACGATGTAGTACATGGTCTGATGATTATAAAAAACTTTCTGCAGAATTTGCAGATTATCGAGCTTCTTCATTTCGTGAGTGCTTCAATCTTTTTACTCATTGAATGATTATATTTTCTTTAGCTCGTCCCTCGGTCGATGGTTTAAATTTTCTGCTGCAATTAGTAGAAAACTTAAGTGTTTCAACTACCTCAATCGATTCACGTACTCATGAAGAGCTTGCTGAAGCCATAGGGTTAACTGAAGAACGATTGTTGGAATGCTCGCATCCAAATCCTCAACGAGCTGCTTTAATGGTGTTTTCTCGATTATATCCGTCATATCGCGATCGTGCTGATTTAATTGGGATTAAAGAATTTGGAAAAAAGAAATCGAAATTAGTAGACGACATTTTCGGTATGCTTGTTTTCTTTTTACTAACTTTGAATATTTCTATAATAAAATTACTTCATTTTGGGATTCAGGATGCAAAAGAAGAGAGAATTAAATTAAGTAATCAGCAAGAGAGATGGAATTAAAATGACTGAAATGGAAGAACGCGCAAGAGTTATATAAGGAGAGAGAAAAAGAACGAAAAAAATTTTTTTTTTCGTTCTGTTACTTTGAGAAGCGAAGCCACAGGACGAAAAAGAAAATCATTGTCGATATGGACGTACGATGACCATTCCCTATCCTTTGACGAGAAAAAAAAAGAAATAATGTTTTTTTGAAATTAAAGTGAAATACTTATAATTGTCACATACTTTTTTGGACATAAATAAAAGAGAACTATAGTGACTTAGTTCTTTCTGATGACCATACTAATGAATCATAGAGGCATGTACTTTTTAAAGGAGAAAAGAAAGAAAGTTTTAAATGTTCTTTCAATTGAAAAGAGAAATAATCGAATATAAAGTAATAGAATTATTATGACGTACTCATATAAATGAAAATTATTTCTTATCATTTTAGTATTTGCTCGTCGGTGCAATCCTACAGTGATTTATAGTATGGAGAAGATGCGTGAAGCTATTGCTTCGTCGATCCGCCAAGCTAAACATCAACTCGTTAGGCTCGAAAATATGGATTTACAATTAGCAGCAATTGATAATCATAATTTTGGTGATGGAGATGTTGAGAATGAATTTAATAATAATGATTTCGACGATCGAATGGATGAATAACTACAGAATGATGGATACAATTTCCAGGATGTTGATTGAATATTTACGTGAATTTATTTAATAATCATCTTGTATTATTAATCAAGTTTCATTTTTTGTTGATAATGGGTTAGGATATTTTTATAGTTTTCTTTTTGATTTATTATAATCTCTCTTATTGTTTCACATTTTGTCTTAAATAGTTTTTTTCATATTCATTTTCTTGTTTTCTGATGTGTGTGCAATGTACTTTATTGTGGTTTTCTTATGTTAAAATCAGTTGTAGTTTTTTGTCTCTACAATACTGGCAATACTTGTCGGTGTTGTGCATTTTTAATTGTGAAATAGAAATGTTAACGACTTATTAATATACTTCATTAACATTGATATATGGAAAAATATGTAAATAGATACATACTTTTTAAAATAGATAACCTTTTGATTTCCAGAAATATAATCTTTTATTCAATACACTTGATCGGAGATATGAAAAGCAAAACAAATACTCTCACTCTTAAAAGTTTTTTTCGTCGTTCACAACGAGCAACTTCGTTGAGAATAAAAATGAAAAAGTCTTTTGCAAGAAGCAGCATTGGGTATTTGACAGTGTATTTTAACTATTTGAAAGAAGTGTGATCTTTTTAGCTCTTCAACATATTCAGCTATACCACAGGTTATTCATCATACATCTGATCAATCGCTGATTACAAATGAACGTGTACAAAATATTCTTGCTTATCATCGCAAACTACCAAGTCTATTTCCTAACGTCTCTTCACATATTGATCGGCACGTTGCATTATCATCTACGTCCAATAATATTTTTAGTTCAAAATCTTCAAATGTTCTTGATAAAAATATCAATAATGCTCAACAGCATATGATCCCACTTGATTCAGAAGATTTAGATGATAATGATGTTGATTGGCAATCAATAACTTCTGAAGAAGAACAAAATATTGATGAATTATCTGAGAACAGCAACGAGGTGCAGTCTGATCAAAATTTTTGTAGTTATAAGAAAGGTCAATCATCATCACCATCATCATCATCAAACAGCTGCAGTACAAGTTCTGAAGATGAGGAAGAGGAAACCAGCTCGAACCATTCTCGTACACACACTACTCTGGAAATAGCTGTACTTCTTTCATTATTTCGACATCGTCATCAACTATCCAAATCGTCCATCACAGATATTTGTCGTTTATTACGTCTACTTGGTGTAAAAAATGTTCCAGCTGATTACAGATCGATATATCGATTAGTAAACCCACTTGGCACATTAAAATTTCTACCAAAACTTGCGGTTGTCTGTCCAACATGTTACAGACTTAGTATGGATACAGAAAAATGTTCAGTTTCAAGTTGTACTAGCCATCCTGGATATGTTCGAGCACCAACTGTTAACTATATGTTCACACTTAGTGAACAAATCAAATCCATTTTAGAACGTATGCCTTTGGTACACACCGGAACAAACGATGGTGATATGACTGATGTTGTAGATGGACTTGCACATTCACGTATTCGTGAAATGGAAAAATCCCCCTTCATCACTTTAACTCTCAATTCTGATGGTGTTTTGGTTCAGAAAATTTCACGTTCATTATGGATAACTACCATTGTAATTAATGAAGTTCCACGTGATATTCGTTTTCAATTACCTAATATGATTATTGGAATGATTTCTTATGGTTCACAAAAACCCAAACGAGCTGAGTTTCAGCCATTGTTAGATATTCTAGTTGATCAATTAATTGAATTAGAAGATGGTATCGATGTATGTTTACCATCATCAAATGATACTCGTTCTTCATCAAGTCTTATTGTTAGTCGTGTTGCTGTGTATTTACTTGGAATTGTTTCAGATAAACCAGCTCAATCCATCATCCAGAATATGATTGATAGTGGGGGTTTTTATGGATGTGGTAAATGTCAAGTAGTTGGTAAGCAAATAAAACTTTTTTTAAAGATTTATTATTCTTTAATAGCTACATATTTTCGATATGCCAAGGCAAAAGTGTTCCTGCAGGAAAGGGACACATTCGTTGTTTTCCACTTGATCCAATAAATCCACCTGATCTTCGTTCGAACCACACCTACGATGCAGCTATGAAAGTTTTAGAAAAAGTATGCAAACAAATTTCTCTGCTTTTTAACTCAGATTCTCTTTTTATTATAATAGAATAAAAAACAACGTACACGTCGTAATTCGTTAACAGGTGCTAACAATGACGAAGCTAAGGGACATGTTGGTCCGTGTGCATTGAGAAGACTTCGTTTTTTTGATATGGGACAATCATTTTTAACAGATTCTTTACACAACTTATATTCTGGAACATTCGTAAGTTACTCGAGCATTCTTTCATCTTTTCTCAGCACAATTGTCTTTGTCTTTTAAAATGAATGTGACAGTAGTTTCCATAATTTCAAAAAATCATTCACCAAGATTATATTTTTCTTGGAGTTACAACTTTCACTATGTCAAAAGTTCTTGCTTCTCTTTAAAAAATTATTTATTTTTTTGATTATTTTAGGGAACAAATATATCTCACTATAGTTATCATTCGAATAACCATTTTCTTAATGTAATCTTTTTTTCTCCAAGAAACAAATATCTTCGAGTATATACTATACAAAGATAAAATTAATCAATAAATACGTTAGCATTATAAGCATCTTAAAAAGCTGTATGAATTAGAAAAGCTATTATCCTCATTATTCCCTTTACTAATCTACTTCTAGTCATTGATTTAACAAATATATCGATACTGTTGTTTGTACAGTTTTTTGTAACATACAACAAACACTTATTTTTTTATTGATCAATTTTGTTACATAGTCTAAAGTATCTTTATGTTAATATCAATCCTTCTTTCTTTCTTTCTTTCTAGCTCAAACTACTTAAAATTTGGCTAGAATTACCATCTGATAGAAAAAACACAACAATTAGTATGAGTATTTTTAATCAACGAAAAGAAGTTGAAATTGCTTTTAATGCAATTCTTTTTCCGACTTCCACTTATCGAGTACCGAGATATCTGCAATACTATCATCAGCACAAAGGGAATGAATTAAGGTTGTGTCTTCTAATGGGTTATAAGTAAGTGTTTATTTGATTACCTTTGTTTAAATAAAATTGTCTTTTTGATATTTTTTTCTATAGTTGTTTTCAACTTGCATTAAACAATAATCAGTACAAACATTTACAAGCATTAGCCTTTTCTCTTCATTTGGCAGAAGCAAGAAATATCGACGAGGAAATGATCAAGAAAATTGATGCATTGCTCAAGTACTTCAATCAAGAATTCGAATATTTATACACAGTGAGCACCCGATTAATAAGAAAACTACGTCATCTTAATAGCAAAATGTCACTTTTCTAGAAACGACATATCGTATCGGTCGTACATTCGGTTGCTCATGTTGCTTCATCCGTTCGTGAATATGGTCCGATTATGAACTATTCCACATTCAATTTTGAATCACTTATTGGTATGTATGTTCTCGGATATCGGTGAAAGAAACTCGTCGGAATATTTCATGGGCATATTCTTTTTTTAATAATGACCAGTAACGATATAAATTGGGATAATTGGAATAGAATACGCTAAGGTATGATATAAAAATAATAAAAATAAAAATGTAAAATAGATTCAATATTGAATTATGTTTATATATAATTTTGAGAGGAAAAAGCATATGCTATAAAGCCATTTGATTTTTATGTTTTATAGAGAGCCATAACTTCTTTTAAGTATTACCTGTTAGATAATAGTCACATTCGACAGAGTTGATTTCTTTTTGACAAACTGTTCAAATGATTTATTGAGTATTCAGTTATTCACGATCGTCATAATGAAAAAGAAACAGAGTCATATATTTCCAGTCAATACTAAGGAACTTTTGATATCGAATATAAAAGCAAATGAGATTCGTCTATCAATTTAATTTACAGGTACACTTGTTCGAACAGTTCGTGATCCAAGTCAACCATCAAGTGAAATTTGTTATAATCTTGAGCTACTTCATCATAGTTGGCTTGAATTTGATAAAAAGAATTTCTTACCTTCATTTAAGCTCTTCATTAATCAAATAAATTCCTCCGCGAAGCAAGCACGTCGACGTTTTACCAACAACTACTTATCTCCAGATATTCATTTTCATCAACGCATTCGACCATTTTATATCATTGATTCATATATTATAAGCCGGCCATACGAATTATATCGGACAATCTTTTACAATGGACTGCGATTATCTCACAAAAAACTTCCAACTACCAGTCGAACACATGATGGATGTCTCCTTTATCATGATTCAGATGATACAACCAAACTGCGGATTGGTTTTCTTCGTTGTGCAGTAAAATTAATCGATATTAAACAAAATAATGTTATGCTGTTTATCGAACAAGCTAAGATAATATCGGTTGCTGATACTGTATGTATTAATGATATACAATATGAATGTACCAATGTGTTGCAAGGCTATCTCTGCTCAGTACCTCAATTTGTCTTAGTCAAACCTCAACAAATTAAAGAAAAACTTGCTTTTCGTGTTCATGACGCATTAACACCAAACAAGTTTTTCTTCTATCGATACCCAAATTTTTCTGAGAGCACATGAGCATATGTATTAAACATTTCACCTTAATATGATGCTTCATTCGGAGTTAAGTTAGGTATATATGTTTTATTATTCAATAAAGAACGATTTCAACATGTAATAGAGAACATTCTTTTTCATTTCTTTTCGGTAAAATTTAAGTGTTATCACACACATACAGAGAAAATATGCCTAGAAACTGAGTGCACAAACATTATTAAAAGTGATTGAATAGATTCCTCATATTTTACGTTACTTTCACTTGTACATATCGGTAATACGAAATGTCTTTGTCCTCGAGAAATTTTTTACATATTAACAATAAATGGCACTTATTTGCAGTAGAATGTATCAAAACCAAGTATCAGTAAATAAAAAACAACAAGTCGTAGCTTTACGTGTAAGTGGTATACATTGATACTTGTTGCTTTAGCAGCGACAGAAAACTAGTAATCAGGAACGTGTCCTTAATACTGATGAGCAATAAAAGATAGAATTTGC